ACCCCCCTTTATATAGGAGTGAGATACCTGACCTAAGGCTGCCCGATTTGGTGAGCTAGCTGCCCAAACTGCCCATCCGTACTCTGACACACCGCGCGCATGTCAGAGGTGGCGCGGGACGTTGGGCGCTGTCAGAGGTGGTTGTCGCTATCAACCAATGCGTTCTCGACACGTGTCCTTCTGCACATGGAGTGAATATTCTTTTGAAATTCCGTTAGAGGCTCTTACACGCGCCTGTGACTAGGCCGATCCATAAAGTGTTAAGTCTGCGAAGTGGTCGACCTGTTGAGGTCGACTAAACTGCTCGATCATTTACCTGGTCGAATGATGGATTGGTCGACTGCTTGACTGGTCGATCTTCCCGCCACTTGGCTCGGCGTCTTCACAGTACAACCCCTTCGACCGCTTCAGCAGACCGGTTTAGCCTTGTAGGTATAATATCTTATATCATTATGGTAATTAATTGGATAAGAAAAGAAGGAAGAGATCAATCAAATATTTAATGTGAATAATATAGAAATTTAATGCAATCCAAGCATAATCTAATATTGATTTATATCCAAGCCTAGTTACGAAACATGTTTTTTTGTCTATAATCGTAAGTCTGCCACTTAGAATTAACGTATTCGCCAATTATATAAAGGAGTGATATATTTTTTTAAGTATTTAAAATTTATATAAAAAATCTCTTTTATATATTTTTTAAAATTTGTAAATTTTTACTAGAGTGTAATCAACGAATTTTATGTCAGTACACATTAATTATGAAATTAAAAGAATAAATTATATTAAATGTAATACAATAGTTATGAATAGAATGTATTTTGAATACTCTTTGTATTTTTTACCATATTATTAGCATAGTTTATATAATTAACTTGTAAATTATGTATGACAACTAAGGGTGAGCATGGGACTCGGAGAATTTCGAACCGTTCAAAAAATCGAACCGAAATCACTCCGAACCAAAAAATAACTGTTGACCGTTTGACTTTCTCCGAACCGAACCGAACCAAAAAAATAATTGGTACGGTTCTGGAGATTTCACAAATATTCGTACTGAGAACCGAACAGAACCGTCCCATACCGTATCGAATCGAAGAACCGAAATTAAGAACCGAATTATAACATTAGATGTGTTATTAATATATTTTATGTCACCTTTGATACTTTATAATATAGTAATAATAACTATTAACCTTCACTTAACTTTCATGCTTAGTAATACTTCATCTACAATTGAATTTTTTCTATTATAAAATAGTTATTTAAAATAATATGAAAGGTTAAAGAATATTTTTTTAGAAAAAAAATATTATATTTTGTTTGAATTTTAAATTTTCAATATTTGTTGCACATATTTAGTCTTAACTAAAATTTAGAGTTACTTCTAAAGTTGATTTCAAAATAAAATTTTTAATATGAGGAAGTATTGATAAATGATGGTTTTATTAGAGCATATAAAAATTAAATAACTAAAATTAGAGTTACTTCAAAAATTGATTTCAAAATAAAATTTTCAATATGATAAATTACTGATGAATGTTGTTTTTTAAAGCATATAAAAATTAAAATATAACTAGGTAGTCATTCAAAAAAAATAAAAAAAAATAAGAAATCTCCGAAGATCCGTACCAAACCACACCGAATCGTACCGTCCCAATAGTCCCGAATACCGAACCGAACCGAAAAATATAAATCTCCGAACCGAACCGACTTTTTGGTACGGTTCCGGAGATCAAATTTTGAGATCTCCGAACTTTGGTACGGTTCCGGAGATTTATCAATTTCCGAACTGTACCGACCCACGCTCACCCCTAATGACAACAAAGGCAAATATAATTAACGACCTCTCTCTGGAATCGACCTTCTCTCTCTGGATTCGACTTTCTCTCTGGAATACGCAACTTTGTGTTTTGAAAAAAAAATATGGAAAATGTGAAGATTAGGGTTTTGATCATGCAATTAACGATTCATCTTCTTATACATTTTCCTCCATTTATCCGTATTACGTGGTTTTTTGTTGTTCTTTTTTTTTCGGTTTTTTGTTTGTTTTTTTTTTCAATATTTTTTATCCTTTTCTTTGCCGTCACCGCCTATTGGCATGCCAAGTCAGCGGAAAACGGACTTAAGCTCTTCACGTGCGAGCCACGTGATAACTCCGGCCACAATTTTTATTTTTTGGCGCCGAAATGACTGAAATTGCGTGGACTTTTGAAATTGCAAGACAATAAAAAAATGCTCCGATCTCAGGACAAAAAATGTCACGAGCCTAAAGCAGCAGGACCAAAAATGTAATTTTACCGACAACAAATATATGTAATTTTTTTCTTATATTTTTACAATGAGTCATTAGGCCCCCGCCCACCGTCTATTCAACGCCTAACGACTTCTATAATCTTGCTTTTAGTTTACTGCAATCTTATTATTACTACTACTAACCTACAAAACCTGGATAAAGATCAAGAAAGTAAATAGAAGATTGGCCACATTTTGGAACACTGCAGTCACATTTAACTAACATTAATCAGTAACAGATGTAGCAAGGGTAGCAGCAGCAGCTTTGGTGACAACAAGAACATATATTTTTCAACCTGAAACATTTAGGACAGCATTTACAGCTCGTGCAAGAGCAAGTCGGACAAGACGAACACTTTGGTCTCGAGCAGCAGCTGCATTTGGATATGTTACAGCATGAGAATAAGCAGCTGCATTTGGGCATTCGGCACTCGCCACATGGATCGCCACAAGACCTGCATGTATTGCATCGGCAATTGCAATTTGGCTTCTTCTTCTTCAGACAAGATGGGCAACAACAACAGCAAATCCACGAAACTTTGAAACACGATAATCCTCCACTGCCAAAAAAAAAAAAAAAGGCACGTCATTTCAGATACTCGAGTTCTTTGATGGACTTAAAAACCTTCATAATGATTCTCGAAAGATAGGTTACACGGATTTCAAAACACATTTGAATTATATTGCGTCTTAGCTTAATTTATAAGAATCTATCTATGAAAGAAAAGAGAGAACATGTTTTCACAGAGGGTACCAGAGCCATTTCCAGAATCGGCATGATCTTCGAGTCTTCTTTGTTCTGCTTTCAAAGGCAAGCACAAAAACGAATAAATGAATACACACAGATAAAACCGCAACTTGGAGTTTCTTATCGATGTATAAGTTACGAGGATTGATTTATGTTCTTACGTGGGTATGAGAGGATCCACATTAGCCGTCACAAACTCCACAACCCTGCACGATTGACATCATAGCTGATGATGTGTTCTGTTCATCTTCATTCTAATGAAAGAGTAACTCAAAAAATCCAAATTTCGAATCTATCACATGGCCAGAAAGAAATAACATACTCTTTACATGATCTTGAAGCCAGCTGAAGGCCCTCGATAGATTTTAGTTCTTCCTGCTCGCAACAAAATTCTAGTTAAAATTTATCGACTAAACAGTAAATATCACTTCCTCTCGATTCTTTGTCATATGAGCAAAGGTCTAACACGGTAACACTCGAGAGGAGGTAAAACGGAATGAAGCTCAGTAAATGAAAACAAAACCATTCAAGAAAGATACGAAGATGATTAGAAACGAAAGCACGTCGATTTAACTGAAAACAACTAGGCAAACAAGACCCCTACATTTCAGTTCTTTTTAGTGAACCATAATTTGTGTTTCTAAAAATTGCATGTGGCTAAAGACTCTACATTACAAACCAGAATGTTCCCTTTTACAAAAAATTACAGGAAGTGCAGAGCTCAGTAAATGTTTCTTTTAACCAACAGGGTAAAAAAAGAGCATAAACAAGAGGCATGAAAATCTGGACAAGTTGCTAAGTTCAAGAACATTACAACAAAGAGAAAAACATTGGGCTCCTCCAGGTGCCAGCATGGCACAACACAACACACACTACAAAGCTATCAGAGATTTTGATTTTCTTTTTAATTAAATAAACAACAAAACAATGGGATCCATCACTTCACTATACTATAAATAAAACCTAAAAAATTGAATAAATAGTTTCCATTTATCTCTCCTCATAGGCAAATGCCAAAAAAATCACTCACATTAAACTTGAAATCGTCGGCCGTGTTTGCATAAAAATAAAAGAAAAATTACATAAATATTTATATTTTCAAGCCTTAACAAGCTGAGCCGAACAGAGTCGAGCCTAGCTAACTATACTATCTTTAATCTGGCAATTTTCAACCATGAAATTATTTTAATAGAATGTGCTAGGATAAAAGATTTCCTTAGGTAAAGAAAAACATTTGACAAATGAGAATAATTCTTGAAATGCATTTTTAAAGTTAAAAATGAAAATAACCAAAAAAAATAAATTTAGAGAAACTCTAATTTAATTCTGCAGATCAACCGAAACAGAGAAATGAAATCACCTCAAGAAAACCAATTTCTCTCTCCAGTATCTGCACCTTGGCCAGATCCCTCCGCCGTCCGTACAGCTCCGGCGGCGACTTGGGCTGCGGCGGCGGGAGAGACGGCACCGTACCATTTCCCATCAGCCCAGACATCCTTTTTCCCTCTACAAAACTCTCTCAAATCACACTATTTGCCCATTTCTAAACACCTCATCAATGCACAAAACTAAAGAGCCCAGAATTAAAAAATAAAAATTGCTGCTTTTTTCTCACAAAAGAGAGAGAAATTGGCAGAGCCCACAGAGAGAGAGAAATTGGCAGAGCCCACAGAGAGAGAGAGAGAGAGAGAGAGAGAGAGAGAGAGAGAGAGAGAGAGAGAGAGAAAATGCCACCACAGCTCACAAGAAAAAACTATAGACAAATGAAAATTATTACAACTGACAATTTCATATGATTTTCTTGGTTTTTTTTTTATTTTTTCAATTTCTCTGATTATTGAAGGGATAATTACAGAGGAGGCCCCAATAATTTTATTTTTTTTTTTTAATTTTTATCAATTGATTTTCTTCACTGTCACACAACAACCATTGCCAGGCCCAATTCACAGGAAAACAACTGTTGGGGCTTCTCTGTCACACAAAACAATATCACAAATAATCACAGCGTAAATGCCTGCATAATGCGAGTTAAATGTCTCATTTATTTCATCCCACACTTGTCTGCAGTTGCAGAAAATTAATGAAACGAAGGCCCCAAAAAAGACAGGATTTTTTTTTTATTTTTTTTTATTTTTTTTTTTTAATAAAACCATTAAATGTGCGGAAAAACATGAAAATAATCACAGCCCAGATACTTATTTCTTCTTCTTTTTTTTTTTTTTTACTGTGATCTGGGGAGGGTGAAAAGTAGGCAATAATGGGAGGAAAAAAGGGGAAAAAAAAGACTGGATTTTTTTATTTTGAGGGGAACAATGATGGGTGTGTTAATGAGCGAAAAAAAAGCTGCATATAAAAAGAGAAAGTGAGATTGAAGAAGTAGATACAATACAGTGCATATAATGGCGTGTACTATTGCTCAAAAGTTTTAAAGTAGTCTCGGGCTCTGTCGCTATCTTTTCACGCAGTGGAGGGTGTTTTGTGTGTGAATTCTGTATTTTAATTTGAATTTTTGCAGTGGAGATGAAAAGGAGAGTGATGGGCGAGGAGGAGCACACGACGCCGTACCACAGAGCACACGTGACTCGCTGCAGAGGATATGAGAGGGAGAAACTTGAATAGTACTATTTTTTTTTATGTAAATTTGTTCACATCACATACATCACAACAACAACAACAACAACAAAATATAAAATGAGGTGAATATTAAGGGTCTATTTGTAGACATGGGAACGGACCTACCCCTCCGTCAGCCCGGCCAGGATTTTGCCGGTTCGTTGAACCGAAACCTTGGCCATGCGGGCCGGCTTCGATTCTTAGTTTTTTTTT